CTCCCTCCACTCCCAGAAGTGGCCGGCATGTCCCTTCGGCCTCTGGGGGGAGAGGTGGGTGGTGTCTCTGTGCATTTTCCCCACCCGGAGCACTGACTCCACAGCTCCCATTGGCCAGGAACTGCAGCCAAAGGGAGCTGCGGGGGCCACACCTGCTGGCAGTGGCGCACAGAGATTCCCCTGGCACCCCTGCCAGAGGAGTGTGCCAGTCACTTTGGGAGCCGCACCGCCCAAGGTAAGCGCCGCCCCCCCCCCGACCCCTCCCGCACCCCAACTCCCTGCCCCGAGCCCACACCCAAACTCCCTCCCAGAGCCCAATCCCCACACCCCAACCCCCTCCTGCACCCCAACTCCCTGCCCCAATCAAGGTACCTCACTTTATTTTCATTTACTTCCTATTAGTTATAATATAAGAGAAGGATGAAGAAAAAAATAAATGAAAAATAGAGGGGAGATAAGAGAGAATGTTCTTTCTCTTGGCTGGGTCCCGAGGTGGAGCCCCTCAAAATGAAGCTGTGCACAGGGCCCCACTAACTCTAAATCCCCCACTGACATCCCCGCTACCTTTTACCAGGTAACACCACTACCTTAAACAGTGAGGGAGCAGCCACACTGCACTCACTCCCCTCCCCAGCCAGGACTCTGACAGGGGTATACACAGACGCTCTGATCTCTCTCTCTCTCTCTCTGACACCCCCACCACCCCGGCCCCCGCGAAGGGGAGGGTGGATAGAAGGACCCACAGGGCATGGGGGGGGGGGGAAATACACACATGCTCTGACACACACACCTGTGAAGGGACGGGCTGAGAGATGGACCTGCAGGGTGGGGGGAAGATACATAGACGCTCTGACACACACCCACGCACACACACCCTGTGACGCAGTAGGGAGCGGGGTGGATTGACCTGGGAATGTCTTTTAGTTTTACTGGGACTGTCTGCATGAGGGATGGGAGAGCAGGGGGTGACTTTAGGTGAGGGACGGTACCTGAGCCTGTAACCTGAGAAGGGGGGGGAGGGAGGGGGAGTCGACACCTTTGCCTGGGAAGCTGGACAAAGGGAGAGGGGGAGAGAAGGAGGGGGAGAGTCTGCTGGAGGGGTTTTTGGTTTCAGTTTTGGGCTGGCTCGGAAGAGGCAGGGAACCCCAAGTCTGGGGTCTAAGCTCCTTGCCCCCGAGAGGGACCTGGCTGAGGGGTCCTGGTTGTACCTACAAGCCCTGCTTGGGACTGTGTTCCTGTCGTCTAATAAACCTTCTGTTTTACTGGCTGGCTGAGAGTCACGGTGAATCGCAGGAAGTGGAGGGTGCAGGACCCTGACTCCCCCACACTCCGTGACACCCCCATGAAGGGGAAGGCTGAGAGAAGGACCCACGGGGAGTATACAGGGACACTCTGACACCCCCACCACCCGCCCCCAAAAGGGGAGGGCTGAGGGAAAGACCTGCATGGGGGGGCTGGGGAAAGAGAAGACTACACAGATGCTCTGACACACACAAACCCATATGCACTCTGCAAAGGGGCAGACTGAGATAAGGACCCATGGGGGGGGGGGGGGGAAGAGAATACACAGACGCTCTGACACACGGGCGAGCTGAGAGAAGGACCCGAGGGGTGTGGGTGTGGGTTTGGGGGGGGGGGGGGGAGGCACAGATGCTCTGACACACACACAGCCATGAAGGGGAGGGCTGAGAGAAGGACCCGCGGTGTGCAGCATACCTGGAAGGCCACCTTGGAGCGCAGCCGGGTCGAGAGCTGGTGGATGATCTGGGCATTGAGGCTGCCACTGTTGTCCATGTCGCCCACCAGCACCGGGAAGGCCTAGAAGGGGCACGACGGGGTGAAATATAGTTGAATAACAACCCCACCCCATATCAGGGCAACAGCATCCCTCTGCCCCACCCCCACCCAGAGCAGCCTGCCTCGCCCCAAACTTCCCCACTGTCTGAATTGACAGCCCAACCCCAATGTCCAGATTAACAACTCTCCCCCCAAACACACACTGCCCCTCTCCCACCATCAGAGGTGGCTCCTCAGTGCTGGCTTCCGGCCAGCTAAGTCCACTCCCCCCCCGCACTCACCTCTGTGGGGCTGAGCTGCTTGGTGCCCACGTAGGTGACCCCGAAGTGATAGTTGGAGTCACCAACAGTGCTAAGGGTGACGCTGTGACTCACCTGGGGAAAGCAGGCAGAGTAAGCAGGGCCCACCAAATCCTGTGTCTTGGCAGGGGTTACACTAGACTAGTGGTTCTCAACCAGGGGTCTGGGATCCACTGGGGGACCGTGAGCAGGTTTCAGGGTGTCCGCCAAGCAGGGCCAGCATTAGACTTGTGGGGGCCCAGGACAGAAAGCCGAAGCCCGAGCAAATTAGCTTCACGGGGCCCCCCGTGGCATGGGACCCAGGACAATTGCCCTGCTTGCTACCCCCAACACTGGCCCTGGCTTTTATATGCAGAAAAACAGTTGTTGTGGCATAGATGGGCCATGGAATTTTTACAGCCTGTTGGGGGGCCTCAGAAAGAAAAAGGTTGAGAACCCCTGCACTAGACCACCCTTGCGGTCCCTTCTAGCCCCATGGTTCTATGCCTGCAGCCAGAGGGGAAGGGCAGCCCAGGGGCACTGGCATGGGAGACCCGGGTTCAGGTACCTAAAGTGACTGCATCTTTCTGGGCCTTGGCTCCCATCTCACATGCGGACAGTCACCTTGCCTGCCTCCCAGGAAGCATGGGGATGAATGCATTAGACTGCAAGGGGTCAGATACAGGGATGAAGGGCGCCAGATAAGTACCTCACACAGAAAGCACCAACCCACAACCTCACCCAGCCCCAGACGCGACACATGGGATCAGGAGGTTTGGGGTCACGTGCCCCCACATTTACTGCTTGGCTTGTAGAGAATGCTCAGTAACATTGCTGAAGCCAGCTGCCCTCAATCTGCACCCCCCCCCCCCCCAGCAGGCATGTCTCTGCCCAGCCCACTCAGACCCCCCATCCTCCTGGGCTATAGCCTCACCCCCCTCCACCCCCACCCCGTACCCTGCCTCACCAGAGGGCACAGCCCTTACCTGGAAATGGTTGCTAAGACCTTTATTCACTGTCAGTTTCACACCTTCCATCTGGATAGGGAACAATTCTGGGGAAGAGACTGCAACAATCAGCACTGAGCCCATCCAGCCCAGCATCCGTCACCCCATGGATCCCTCCAGCCTGCTGGTAACTCCTTTCCCCCAATCAGACCCCTGGGCTGTCCAGCCTGGTACCCTCCCCGCTCCCCCAGGGACCTGCCCACCTGGCTGTGTACTGGGGTCCCCCATGCTATGCTCCCAACCTCTGCACTTGGGGTAACATTCCTTGAAGGTGCCAGGACGGAGGTGGGTGTGCGTGTGTGTGTAGACAGTGGGTTCCAGGCTTTCACCTTTGCACTTGCGGTGACATTCCTCAAAGGTGCCAGGGTTGGGCAGCCGATCCCCCTTCTCCTCCGGCCGCTCCTGCGCAGGGGGGCCCAGCCCGCTGACGGGGGGCATGGTGAAGCCAGGCGGCACTGACACCAGCCCAGATCCAGGACTCGGCATGGTGGGGGAGGGTGTGGGGGAGCTGGCAGCCAGGACGTTACCCATGGTGGGGGGCTGTGGAGAGAACAGATAGTGTTGAGAAGGGGTGAGCAGCGCCAGATACCTCCCAATATACCCCACAATCTGTCCAGGATATGCATCCCAAACTGATACCTCCTCCAGTCTGCCCTGATACTGATCTCCAATAGACCCCATGTATCCCCAGGTCCATCTGCCCCCCACCCCTCCAGTGACCCCCCCACTCTCCAATATTCCCTCCTGAGACTGCCAACCTCAATACCCCCTCCCCAAACAGGCTGGCCCCCAAGCTCCAGGTACATCTGCCACAATACCCCTCTTGACACTGGCTCCCCATGGCCCACAACACCCACCCTGCCCCCAACAAGGTCTGACTATTGCAACACCCCAATACCCCCCATTGGTGTATCTACCCCACCAACAGCCCATCCCGTCTGATGCCCCCTGTTGTGTCCCAACAGCTTCCTGCTCCTCAGACACCTGCCACTCCCAGGGTCCCCCTGCCTCAGGAGTGACCCCACCTGCCCCACGCCCCTCGATCCCCCCCCGCCCCGAGTTCACCTACCCCGCACCCCTCAATCCCCCCCCGCCCCAAGTTCACCTGCCCCGC